TTGTGTTTTATCTGTAGCACAACATACCCATACCGTGACTCTACACGGCGTAAAAGTGTTTTATTATAATGCGGGAAAACAAAAAGTAGAAAAAGGCACTTCACGGACACGATGAACTCTTGTGACACTCCTGAAACATCACCCACATGTACAGCGCAGGTGTTACGCAAGCATTGTATAAGCGCCGCAGCAAAACACTGGAATCAAGTGCACATGACACTCAGACATCCGCGGCGAGCTTCTCCGCTCGCCCGAATCAATACAGCCGCTGTTGTTGTCACGAAAATATGGCTTCATAATCTCCGAGCGCAGATCACAGGCTGTGCCGAGACGTGAACCCTGTTTGATTTGGCGCACGTCGTCGGCCGACTGTACGGGATTACGCGCATTGAGAGAGTAATTGGTCCTGGATAAACAACGATTGTGCTGGAATTCCTTCCTTCTCCCGTCTCTGAAGGAGAAGCATTCTTTTCAATCCAGATCACACACACAAACCCCCTCCACACCCCACCGCTTCAAGTCTCGGTTAAACATCTGACACCTGTTGACAGCGTTGGTTAAATTCCTGCTGCTGCTGCTGCGGCGGCTCTTCCAAACATCCACAATTTCATCAGCGATCATCATGTACAGACGTTCGATTGTTCCTGAAGTGTGCTCGCCGCTGCAGACGGAGCGAGGAGAAAGAAAAAAAAAAGAGAAAGAAAAACGCCTCCACCGAGCTGTGGGATGCGTAATTTTCATCCAGTATGCACGCCCACCGAGCGCGCTTCCTTCGCTAAGCCTGATAGATGGCACTTGAACATAAATAGATTGGAATAGCATCGCTCTAAGTAGGCCCTTGAAATCAAATGAGTGCAGACCCAGAAAAGACATCTTGTTTCTCTGGATGTCCAATCACGGCAAGCGGCAGCAATTCCCTTTTTTCTCCACACCGGTAAAAGTCGACGCTCGGTCCGGCTACGTGTCGTTTTCACATCAGTAGACTGAATAAAGCACCTTTTTTGACCAAACTTTGTGCACCATATCTACCTGTAAATGGACGTTTTGTGTGTGTGTTACTCAGCGTGAGAGGCATTCGGAGGCTGCACACGAGGCTTATCGAGCTACAGCGGCGGCAGAGTGGGGATGTGTGGATGAGATAGCACAGCGCTCATTAGAAGGGCCTGGGGACAGCCGTGGAGATAGCACTTACTAATCTCACACAGAAGAAAACCGCCTCGCTTCATTTACGTGAAAGCTCAGAGTACTGATTGTCTGTGCAGTAAACACATGAATATTTAGGAAAGATGAAAGTCCAACACCAGCATTGGCTTTTTTCTTTTCTCCAGCATTCCATTTCCTATTCCTGAAAAAAAAAAAAAAGCCCTGTTGCATTTTCCCTCACACTTCCCTTAAGTGGAGATAACATCTGGGATAGGAAAGAGTGAGAGGGGAAAGGGAGGAGGGAGTGTGTGTGTGTGTGTGAGAGTTCTTCAAAGCTCGCCGTGTTGGGTCGGGCTTGGATCGGGGAGGGAAGTGTGTGAGATAAGCCCGTGACAGCTGCCAAACACCTCTGCGTTGTACTCTGTCTGGGCCCCTCCATTCACAACGAGTGTTTCTGAATCCCAACCACCTGCCGGCTCCGGTGCCTCGCGGCAGGTGTGACTCGGCTCGTACGTGATTCGGGCCGCCGATGAATACGGAGCATATGCGGCGGTCTTATCGGCCCGCATCTCGCTGTAATAACATTAAGACGGGCGCGCTGATGGAGAGATTAGAGAAAGGCGAGGGAGCGTGAGGGCAGCTCGGATGAATCAGCCGAGCGAAGGGGGAGAGTGACCTGACGGCAAAAGTTTAGAACGCAGGTGACAACAACAAAGTCAAAGTGAAAATAAAACACATACGTATGGTATAAAATAAATCCCCTTTATAGGTTGTAAAAAGAATTTAGGAAGTCTGGAAGAGGATTAGGGTTAAAATATTCATTAAAGTTTGTGCTTCTTTCTCAAAATTCTGACTTTTTAGTTCCAACTTTAAACAAGAAATTCTGCCTTTTTTCAAAAAACCGCCCTTTTTCTCAGAATTTCAACTTTAAACTAAGAATTCTGACTTTTTTTGTTCGTATTTGAAGTTTTGGAATTTTCTTACAAATGTGACTTTTTAAAATTTTGACTTCAAGCTAAAAATTCTGGTTTTTATTTGTTAGAATCATAGTTTTGAATTTTGACCATAAAATAAGAATTCTGACTGTATTTGTTAGAATTTAGCGTTTTGAATTCTGACTTTCGGCTATAAATTCAGAAATTTTCTTGTGACATTTTAAAATCTTGACTTTAAACCAAGAATTTTGACTTTTTGTGTTACATTTTGGAGTTTTGAATGACTGTGAATCAGGGTTTTCTTTCTCAGAAATATGACTTTTTAAAATTCAACTTCTTCCTCAAAAATTTGACTTAAAGCTACGAATTCAACCTTTTTTTGTTAAAATTTAGCACTGTGAATTCTGACTTTTGACTATGAATTCAGACCTTTTCTCAGAAATTTGACTTTTTTGACAAATTTGACTTAAAACTAAGAATTCAGATATTTTCTCTGAAATCTTTTTCCTCAGAATTTTGACATATAAGTCCTGTTTTTTCCCCCCTAAATGTTGACTTTAGACATTAATTTACACTTCTTTCTCAGAAACAGGACTTTTTCTTTTGAATATTGAGAGAAAAAAAACAAAAGAACGTATTTTCAATGTAAACCAACAGCACATTGACGTAAAAACTATCATCTCCTTTGAATTACTTTTCCTTACAGGACTGCAGATGCTAGCAAGCTAGCAGGAGCTAACTGGCTGAACTTATTGACATTTACTGAGCTTGCTAACTTAAAAGAAAGGTGAGGGGAATTTGCTGAAATTAAACTGTCTGTAATTAAATTAAAATAACCTAATTTTGAAAACAGTCTAAGTCGTCCACATGTTATTCACTGCACAACGTGTTCTCAACTTGAACGTATCCATGTACGAGGAACACGAGCTTCAGGGTCGACACAACGAGTCAAAACAGCGACGACATTCAGTCACAGCACACCAAGTCCTTCAGATGTGTGTCAGAGCGGAAGAAAGTTTTCCTGCCTGACATCACCGGGGTTCAGAGGTTAAATTCACAAACAGGTGGCCAAGTTACAGAGAGCCTGAACCAGGACGTTTCTGTTAGAGGCTTCATTATTCTCCGGCCGGACCAAAGCGGGCCAAGTCACGCCATCTGTTTCGCCCGTTGTCTTAATTTGACAAACTCATACCAGGAGATTTAGACTTTCAAGCGAACGCACTTTCTCAGGATCTCAGCTGACTTCATTTGGCTCAGCTGCAAACTGGAAGGTCGAGTTCTCCGCCGTCAGATAAGGAGCTCGCGTTTCCAAAAAATGTCAACTTTTTCAGGAGCTAAGAAAAACAGGGCTGCTTTCTGGCCTGATGGCACCGCATTTCGAGTCCAAGGGGTTTGGAGTTTCTCAGCTGACAGGAGACGACGTAACCATGGAGCCGGAGCGAAAACATGGAAATCAGAAAAAAACGTTTTCACATTTAAAATCCACTTAACCGAGTATTAAACTAATTACGCTTTGCTGAGCTGTGAAATGTCAACGTAGGAGGTCTTGTATGAGTGCTGAACGTCTCTCTGTCTTTGTCTCTCTGGCCAGCCTGCCACTGCAACCTGCACGCCCGCCGCTGTCGCTTCAACATGGAGCTGTACAAGCTGTCGGGCCGGAGGAGCGGCGGCGTCTGCCTCAACTGTCGCCACAACACGGCCGGACGCCACTGTCACTACTGCAAGGAGGGCTACTACAGGGACATGACCAAGTCCATCTCCCACCGCAGAGCTTGCAAAGGTAACGACAACGGTTGGATGCTGTCGACTCTCGACTCTTTCGGAAATATTAATGACGCTGCAGGGCTTTTTTCTTCTTCTTCACACATCTGGGTGGTGTTTCCCATGGCAGGCAGCAGCTTAAAGGAAAAGCTGATTTTATTTTTATAGTGCTTTTCATTCCAGGGGAGATTCAACAGGCTTCACATAAACACATGCATGTAGGATGAATACTGTATAGACGGTGCATTCACAGTACCAATCCATAGCTGGTAAACGTGCCTGTGTGGGGCTGTTAGAAACAGAATATAGACATTTGGTACTAAAAATGTAAGGGGTCCTATAACAGCAGAAAAACAAAGCTTAAGAGTTGGGTTTGTACGAGGTGTTCACTCAGAGTCAGTGTGTTAAATCACCGTTGGCACGTCCCAAGTTTGAAGAAAAAAAACAACAAAACTTGAGGATTTCACTACTTTATCTTTAGATCTTAACCAACATGTTGAAACACCAAAGTTACGCAACGACGCCAGTAATCTAAGTGATGAAGGCAGCGGTCGACCAGCAAGTCTCGTTTTCTGCAAATTAACATTTCTGGTTTTGTCAGTGGAGCCTTTGAAGAGAACACAGAGCGATATTAAAGTTGGTCTCCGGCCATTGATTTGACCTCCTGAACGCTACGATCAGCGAATCCAAGTATATTCAATTCAGTTTCAATTTAGCTGTCTGTGAAGATTCTCAGTCATCCAGGTCATGGTTGTTCTCATAGATTAATCGTAGCAACTGCTTGAGTTCCTTGAAGACGTTCCACCTCTCATCCAAGAGGCTTCATCAGCTTTGACTGACTAGTTGGGAGCTCCAGATATCCTTAAGGAGTCATTAACACCTGAGTTTGAGTTTAGTTCAGTTTTATTTATATAGCGCCAATTCTTACCTTACAAAAACAGAGAAACCCAACAAATCCAAGGTTTTATTTGGAGTCCCTTTGAGCAAGCACTCAGCAACGGTGGGAACTCCAATTGAGAAGTTTCCCATTAAAATAAATCCCTCAAGTTTACTTAGATGTAACTCCTCTTCCTCTATCCTACACTATAATAGTTTAGAAGTAATCCTGTCACACATGTTCCAACCAGAAACTGATTCAGAAGAATAAAAACGACACAGAAAGCCAGAGCCTCCGTTATGAAACTCTGGAAGTCTGAATGCATGTCTCTGTAGACTTCAGTTTCACGACAAGGTAAAAACCGTCTTTAACTCTCCCTTTTTCATATTTACAAGTTCAAAAAATGCTCACGATTCAACTTCTAACATCAGGCTTGGAGTTCTGCTGCACACACATACCTCACGCCGCACTCAGGTGTTAAAGGAATTCTTTAAAAAGTTTAGCGCCCACCTGTCTTGGTGTCAGTGAACTGACCCGTGCAGCTCTCCAGCTATTCGAGGTCCTCCGCGAATCCCTGACAAGACAAACATAACAAACAGAGCGGAGGTGTGAGCTGATCCGCCGAACAGAGCGGTGGAAACAACCCGCTAATCGTCCCGCTCTGCTATTCATGCCTCCACATACACATGTGAGAAAGAAAAAAACAACAACAGGCGCACAGGTGTGAGCACATACGTCAGGTCTGAGAGCGAGCTGCCAAGGATTAATGTGTGGGCAGACAAAAGCTGAGCTCCTTCTGTCTCGCAGCACCTCTGGGAGTAAAGACAGGCTCCGAGGCGCTGAGCAAACAAACCGGCTGTCACTCCGTCACTCGTTGGCTGAGTAATCCTCCGATGCACAGAATGCATGTGCGTTCCTATAACCGCCACCGTCTATACGAGACACTCAAACCATGATGTACTCAAGGTGTAAAATCAGCCCTGTCTGACAGAAATTACATTCCTACACCTTAAACTGCATTCTCATTTAGAAAAACAGTTCTTCTCCGTGTTAGGTACGACAAGAGCTGTTTCTGAGTAAAGTAAATGGAAACTTTTTTTAGTTTTAACGCTTGTTTGAGGTGGTTTGCACCTTTTTTCAAACCAATATCTAAATAAGACGTAGTAGATAAGGCTTTGAGTTAGAACAAAGCCACAGAGTCCACATTAGGAGCCTGGAGGGGATGTAGAGGTAAAGGTCTGAGGAGAGCAACGTTTACATCCTGTGTTGGTTTGGTTTGGTTGAGGTAAATATCATGGTTTGGATTTAAAAATACACCCCAACATGTTTGAAGCCTCCCTTCCTCTGGTCGGCTGAAAAAGAGCCACAGTAAAGCAGTAAAATACAAAGTGAGGAGATATAATTAAAAAACCTAACATTTGGAGCGGCTGTGGCTCAGGTGGTGGAGCAGGTCGGTCAATGATCGGAAGGTCGGCGGTTCGATTCCGCCCTGTGTCGTGGTCGTTGTGTCCTTGGGCGAGACACGTTATCCACCTTCCCTGGTGTGAATGGATTGGTTGAGGTGGTGGTCGGAGGGCAGCTGTGTCCAAAATCGTGGCTTCCACCACCAGGATCAATGTGTGTGAATGAATCATTGACAGTGTAAAGCGTCTTTGAGTGTCAACCACTATAAAAATCTGATCAATTATTATTAAAAAACATTAATGAATTATGATTCGTCACAAACAAGCACAATCCAGGAGAAAATACGTTTCCCTCTAGATCAGGGGTGTCCAATCCTGGTCCTCGAGGGCCACAGTCCTGCATGTTTTAGATGTTTCCCTCTTCCAACACACCTGATTCAAATGATCAGGATTGTTATCAGGCTTCTGCAGAGCTTGATGATGAGGGAAACATCTAAAACATGCAGGATTGTGGCCCTCGAGGACCAGGACTGGACACCCCTGCTCTAGACTATACACAATATATACAAGATGGATGTAGCGGCCATGATGTAAGTTTGGCATTTGGTCATTGCCATCTTGGTGTTTTAAAACTGCACACAACGACAAACCCGCCCTAAAACATGCCCTGCTCTATCGTCCATTTTTCTCTAAATGGAACCACAATTGACCAAATGAACACCATGCTGCATTGAAGGAGGCTTAAAACGAGCATTTAAGACCATAATCTCATGAGTGAAATGTTTACTGAGGTAACAAATCAAGTGAGAAGCAGAGCTATTTTCTCATAGACTTCTATACAATCTGATTTCTATTCCAACTAGATCAGCTGCCCCCTAGTGGCTGTAACAAAGAATGCAGAGGTTCGGTGAATCTTTTATATACAGAACAGCGTAAAAAATGTAATTGAAAATGCAGTGTAGTTGTATTGGATCATAAGATCATAAGAAGAGATTGGTTTTGGAGTTTCAGTTTGTTTATATAGAAAAGATTAATGAAAAGCAGCTAATAAAACCTCCCTAAGTATGACGGAGCTTCTAAACAATATTCCTGGCTGCCATTGTGCGTTACCGCTCCAATCTCCCACCACAGGCTAATGACAAATGACTGACTTTGGGCGAACGCACATACTGTGGTCTCCAGCCACATCCACCGCTGAGCTGTGATTGGCAGGTGACAGGGTCTGGGGATGCCTATCCTCCGGTGCCCCCTACCCCTCGGTTCACCGCTGGCTACATAACACAGGAACAGCAACACGATATTTCCTACTGCATACCACAACAGCCCCCCCCTCTTAATTCACTCCGACTTCTTCAACTCGCATGAAAGGGAAGCGAAGGCACGAGAAGCAGGGCCGACAAATGTGTTTACAGAAGCTTTCCATGTCAGAGACGGTCAGAGATCGCTCTCAAACGGAGCGCTGGGATCGATTTACCGCATGTGGCAGCGTCGTGCCGAACACAAGCTTGATAGATCATCTGCACTTAGCTTAAAAACATGACAAATGGTTCTTTGCAGCCTTGTTTCACTCTGCCAGCCTAAACATTTTCACAAGCTATATTTGGGGGTTGGTTTCAGTTCAGGGGGGTTGGAGCCGAGAGCAGGTTGGTTCTCGCTTCGCCTAATGGTGCAGCAACATCCATACATCTCTGCAAAGTCTTTCCAAACAGCTGGATCAGTAACGCGAACACTCGAAGCCCCTCTCCCCCCAATCCCTCCGCATGCCCAGCTCATTGCTCTGGGATCAAACCCAAACAGTCTGATTGCTGCCTTTCTCCTCAGGTGACAAAAACAGGGCGATGTGACATCAGTTAGAAACCACTATATTTATTGTTCAAATCAGCCAACCATCCCGCTCTGCTGTTGTTGGACAGGAAATACAGCGCTGCGCCAACACAGCCAGGAGGAAGTCTGCTTTCCTTCCCCATTCCTTCCCCCCCCAACGCTCCACATCTCAACAAAATGTCCTCTCAACAATTTACTTAATAGTTGGAGGTTTAGCGGAAAAAAAAAAAAGAAATAGCTCTTCTGCTCTACACGCTGCCTACATCTCCAGTGGCAATGTGGAATGCCTCATGCTTTATTTCCCAGATTAACAACTTCACCCCTCATCAAGCGCAGTGTAAACACGGCTCTTGGAGAACCAGAGTGCACGCCCCCCGCCCCTAACAGTTTGTTTTTTTTCTCCAATCCCCTCGTACGTTTGGCAGCCTAAGCCTTTAACTAGGCACGGTGAGTCCACAGAGATGAGGCTGGTACATGGTTCAGCGCACCGCGCTCCCCAAACCCCTCAGCAACCATTCAGCTCCACGGGCCCCCCACCGCAGGTTCAAATTAATTAATGTTTCCAGAGTGCAACACCCCCTGTGAAGGCAGTAAGGCTGTGGTTTGGCGTTGGGGGTGGACTTCTGACATGGCAGCGGTTGGAAAATACTGTAAGTCTACCTGTGATTATGGCTTTCTGAGGAGAGAAAACATTTCGCGTAGTAGCAATCTGACAATATACTGCCTCATAAACTTGTCTGAGCTGAAAAAAATACTCGCTGTGCAGCTTCTTACACCAAAAACATGCTAAAAATACATCTGTGGGAAATACACGTAGTTGCGACAGACTTACGACTCTCATGCCAGTGCAGTAAATACAGAGTGTAGCTACAGCTAGCAGTCTATTAGCTTAGCTTAGCTTATTATAAAGACAGGCAAGACTAGGAAACAGCTAGCCTTTATTTCATATCTTGTCTGAAGCTGCTAACAAAAGTGCACTGGAAACAACATGTTAACTCAGTAAAGTCACTGCTCCACATGCATGTTTCCATCATGTATGTTTATGTGTATCCTGAAATATGCAAAGTTAGTGGAAATGACAAAATCCAAAGCTTCCTTCCATTTGCAAAAACGTTTCTACGCTCACTTGAGGCACTTTTACTGGGGGGAAAAAAAAGGAAATTCACATAATTAGGGTCCGAGGACCCCTACTTGTTTGAATTGTTCCTGCCTCTTTTGTTGTCTTCAGCCTTAAACACGACCGAAACTTTGGCAAACTGTCATTAAAACTGGGGTAGGCAGTATTTCGCATAATTCGGCAATGATTCCATCCGAACCCTAAGAGATCTGAGAGGAAACCAGACTTCTCTCCTCCTCTTAGCTCCACTTTTAGGCTTTAGAAAATCAAGAGATGTTGACCAGTCACATGTAAAGACCAATAAAGTTCACAGTGAAGGTAGGTGTAGCGCTGCAACAGGTCGGACTTTGACTTTAAGGAGCGATTGGTTCAGATTCTGGGGCTCTTCTTTTCTTTTCTTTTGCAGATTTCCGTCCATCCAGCTTTAAAAACTGCAAAAGCAGAATCACTGCATAAACAATGTTCTGACTCTTATCTGAACACGGAGCGAGTCTCACAGAACAGTGTTGACAGAGGATCCGTTCCAAGCCCGAGTTTTAATTGTTGCAAAAGTCGGTGCGATTTCTGAATGTTTTGTTGCTTCTGGATCAGAACCGAGAACTCGCGGTTCCACTTCAGCTCTCTGTTTACTGCAAAAATATGACAGTGGCATTAATCTTCTGGTGGAGAGGTTTCTGTTTTATGTATTGAGTTTTATTGTTCTGGTCCGTCTTTGAAATATTATATATTATATATGTTTAAATGCGGTTTAAATGCGCCAACAAACTATTTATTTCACCGATTCATCAATTAGCGTTGAAAAATAAAACTCTAGCGGCTGAAATGTTTAGACTGAAACAAACCAACTCTCTCTAAGCTGCATTATGAAATGATTAGTTTCCATTAAACATCCTTCCATCGTATTCAGATCGGACTGAATTCTCTGAGGAAATGAGCTCCAGTCCCAAAAATGTCACCATTAGTTGTTGTTTTTTTTTTCCTTAACTTCAGAACCTTTTATGATACAAATCAAGCAGAAGAAAAAACAAAGAAGTTAGACCTTCTCAAAGACAGATTTAATAAGCATCTCCTCCAACGTGCACTGGACCACTTCAAGCAAATTTCAAATGACTGTGCTGGTACATATAACACATGGAGGACTAATAGGGAGGCTGGGCTTCCACTTCAAACACTGGCTTTATGGTGAAAGTTTGGCAGAGCGCGCGCACACACACACACACACACACACAACAAATTTCTCACATTTAACGTGTGATCCTCCCAACTAAAAGCTTAAACAGACTTTGAAGTGCGTTCCACTCGTCCATTAATGGGCAACATTATTCAGCCAGTATTTGCGAGGAGCTCTTTGCCAGCAGGCTTTACATACGAAACTCAATCTGAAGAGCACACAGCTTGTCTGATCGCAACCACGCACAGGACACGAAGCTCTCGAGAAGCTCGGAGACGCTCGTACCTTCACGCATGTACACGATGCTGTACACACACACACACACACACTGTGCGGTGAGTGAAATACTGTAATTAATCAAGTTATTTACTGTTCTGCGTGCCGTCCAGAGCAGACCTTATGAAGAGTCTTTTGGTCATAATGGGTGGAGGGGAGCAGTGTAATTTGATTGAGGTTTTATGCTGGTGCAAGGCCCAGTTCCCCATCTGTGATGGTCTGGAAGGAAAACACAGCCCGCTCTAATGTGAATGATTTCTGACTGTGTTTCAGCGCTATACTTTTTTTATTGTATGGAATATGTAGAGTCAGCGGGACGGGCCACAGACACGCTGTAGTCATTTGTAAGCTGATATTTGTTCTCTACCCACTTGTGTTTTCATTTTTCAAATAACAATTTGTTTACTTCTGCAAACTTCATGTATTGTGCTTCTTTCCTTTTTTTTCTCCCCTCCATAGCATGTGACTGCCATCCTGTCGGAGCAGCAGGGAAAACGTGCAACCAGACGACAGGCCAGTGCCCCTGCAAGGACGGTGTGACGGGGATCACCTGCAACCGCTGTGCCAAGGGCTACCAGCAGAGCCGCTCCCCCATCGCTCCCTGCATCAGTAAGGGCCGCTCACACTACTGAACAAGTTAAAGAGAACGGAACAGCTGATTGTTAGGTGGATGGATGGATTTATAAAGGAGATATCAAATGCATAAAGACAAAAGCGACACAACTGCAGATCAAATCAAGCACTAGCAAAGCGTTGACTGAAGGTTGACATGACTTTAACCTGCTCCATGAACCCATCTGTCCATCTTCTGTCTGTTCATCCTCAAGGTATCAGAAATAGGAATCCAATGCGATGAAATACAAATGAGACACTCATCACTGTGAAATGTCACCAAAACAAACACAACAGCTAGATTAGAAAGTTCATTCTTTCTTTACAGCGGTTCTCTCTTTGTTCTCGGTACAATGGTTGGAAGGAAAACGAGCTTTTACAGGCCAAAAGGGCCTCGATGATATAAGTTCACGGGTGTGTCTAGCAGGGTGACCGGACACAAAGTGCACAGCTAGGGGCTGAGGTTTTAGGCAAGGTGAGGCACTTTTTCACAGACATGTTTGTGCTCTTAAATTAACTGATTTCACCACAGATTTTTGCCCTTTTTAAACGCTGGTGCCAAGTTACAAATCCTACCGTCCAACCTGCGATATGACGGATACCTCGGTAGCAAACTGAGCTAAGCGCCTCACAGGACAGGACCTGAAAAGGACGGGACGTGTTTGTTGTGCACGAATCCTTGGCTCACACTTATCTCGGGTTATTTTTGTACCCTTGTTCCATTATTTTGGATAGATATTTGGCCGTTTAAACGTGAGCCTGGATAAACAGACCATTACGGCTCGACTAACACGGCCCTGTTTGCCTTCGACGCCGCTAATGGTTCGTCTCACAATAAATCCCCCCAGAATGAATCCAAGGGAATGATGGCTGATATGTTTATTGGCTGTATCTACCGCCGGCAGATTCCAGGCCCGCGGCAATAAACGCCAACGCCTCGCAGAAGGAGAGATGGGTCACTAGTAGCTGCTTTAGCTAGGAGCATGTAGTAGCTGGCTGCTACGAGCAGATAAGATAACAGTGATTTCTGGGAGGACGTGTACACACTAACAATCGTCCGCTATGTCACCGGGGTTGACATTTCTGATAAAGTCACGTGTGGAAATTGGACATGCTGTATGTAGACGAGGAATCAGAGCGATACGTTTGGCCAGAACCCACTATGATACCTGCAAATGTGCTGGAGCGAGATCTCTTTAATTTTGTTGGGAAGGCTACAGATGTGGTGTAAAAGTTGGACGAAACGGGGTTCTTGACGAGCAGAATGTATTTGGTTTCTCGTATACTTCTTGAGATCATGTCTTTTGGTTTTAATAGTACGATATTAAATTTTTGTGATATCTTGCTCCCTGCCAGCTCCGAGTTTAACTAGACCAGCGGCCTTGGCTCCCCGTACCTACAACATACCACAATCAGTAGGGAGCGGGACATTAATAAGAAACTCCGAGGCGTGATACACAATTTTCAACACATCTGTGTGTCAAAAGTGTTTTTCACAATGCTCGGGGGTGAAACTCTGCCCTTAGAAGAGGAAATTGAGCTGCGATATTTCCTCATAGATGTAACCATCGTTTTTTATTCGGGGGTTCAGTGCAATATGATGACAGTGTGAAATGTGCTTCTATTCCTCTCTTTGTCACAGAAATCCCAGTCGCCTCTCCGACAGCGACCTATAGCAGCTACGAGGAGCCGTCGGGTGAGTAGCAGAGTTTGTAAATCAGCGCTTGAATAAAAAAAGGTGACAGTAATTTTTTTTTATTTCTGTTATTGTAATTAATTGTGGGTGGGATTTTTTTAATCACTGTGCAGCTCAACTCAACTAACGGCTCCTTCATGCGTGTAATTATAGGTGCATTTCGAGCACATGCATGTTTTTCCACACTCCTCCACCAAACACACGTCAGTGAGGTCGGCCCGTCGCTGATGTAAACTCCAGATATTTTGCCAGTGCTCCCTGTGGCCCCGTTGCCTGTATTCCCAGCCTGCCCAGCAGCCTCCCCAGGGTCTCAGCCCTAATCTGATTACATGCTTCATTTGCACCAGTTTGTATTTCAATCAAGGCCTGCTACACCAGCAGCGAAGCCCCGCCGGACCCGATTGTTCGTGTGCTCTGACGAGAGTCTCCGTGTCGGACTGCTGACATGAGACGATGTGCTGCGCTGATATTTACCTTGAATGACCATCCGCAAAATGCACAGACTGTTCCTTAACTGCTGAGGCATTTTTAAATTCGACTATATTAATTAGTTTTCACCGCGGTCCAGGTTTGTTTAAACAGGCTGAGTCACCTCTGATCATCGATCAGTGTCTGGCGAGAGTGGCGCCACTGACTTCATTGAGCTTTGTTGCGAGTCCCACTTCCTGCTATAGTGCCTGCCGAGGCTGTGTGGAGTTTGGATTCCTGTCAGAAACTCCAAACAGACACCACCCTCCAAATTAGGAGCGGTGGGGTCCCCCAGGCACCCCGCAGAATGAACGTGGCACTGCTGCAGAGACGCACAAAGGGGGCGTTTGTCCTCACAGCGGGAGATTGGACCTTAATGAGAGCTGTGGGTGTAATGGCCCACTGCAGCGATCGCACTGAGGGGCTAATGGGCAACGTCAGCTATCAAAGGGAGGTATGATGAAGGCCCCCAGGGGCCGGCGGGAGATAAAGAGGCCCCCCGCCCTCGCCACTTCATTTACATGGAAATCAGGCATGCTCGATATGGACTCGTCAAATTCATTTACTTTGGGATTTCCTCTTTTCTTATTTTTCCCGCCACCCCAGAAAGCAGCCAGGCATTCCACCAGAAATGCTTTCTCTACATACATGAATTCGATCCTCATCCCACGTCCCAAACCACTCTTTTTTTTTTTTTTTTTTTTTTTTTTTGAGAGGGAGGAGAGGGGTGTTTTTTTCTTTCTCCATCATTACCCAGGCAACCTCATTCACACGGAGTATAATGGGGAAGAAAGGGGAAGACTGGACAGAGGGCTGGAAGAAATAATGAAGTTTGTCCATATTCAGGCAAGCTGAAAGGTCCCCTCTCTCTCTCAACTGCCCCCTCCTTTCTCTTCAGACTGACCAGCCCAGCTTTCCCACCCCCCCAGAAATAAGCACAAGGCTTATTGCTCTGGGAGAGGTGGAACGGGAGGGGGGCTACACTTGGAGATGGTCTGGTTCCAATTTGTGTCAGTCAGTGGAAAGTGGAAAGAACAAATGATTTCAATTTTCAGTTTGGCCTCTGGTCCCACCACCACCAGCTTCCTCATTACAAAAGGTACCTGGCGCAGTGACAGCGCGACAGAGTGGCCATCGATACAAACCTCTGGCGCACAAAAACCCTGGTACACGTTCAGGGGTGTTAAAAAAAAAAAAAAAAAAAAGACGCTGCGGAGACATTAATCATACGTCTGTGAGCTGCTTTTCCGGTCAGAGGGCCGTTGAGCCTCGCCCAGTGCTGGAGTGTTCACTCTCTGGCCTCGGATGCCGCTCAGGGTCCCTGCTAATTTTTGGTAGGTCTCTTGCTAATTTCCCCCCCGTGACCTCGTTTTTGTGCAGGGGGTGACCTCAGTAGCCCTCGGAGCTCGCACAATGCATGCCAGGACACTGACGAGGGAGCGGGCTGGAATGGAAAACACGGGAGGCGTATAGTAGGAGTGTGTTGACAGACACAGGAGGATCTGTGTAAGCTTTAATCGGCGGCGGCGTCTTTAGGGCACAAATAGTGTCGCACATGTAAAGCCCGTCCACTTGGAGCTCTGCCTAAATCGCATATCTGTTAACTCTCCGTCTCTCTTGTCGTCCTCAGATTGCGAATCTCACTGCAAAGCCTCCAAAGGAAAAATGAAGATCACCATGAAGAAGTACTGTAAAAAAGACTACGGTGAGTGAGTCCAACACACACGGAGCGCCAGATGTCAGTCAGCAGCCGCGAGGTCAAACGTCTCAATTAATCAGATCCCCAGCTCGGCCGATCCACACCCTGCTGGTCTTCATGTTTCAGCGACGGCTTACTCAAACAGCCTCAGGTCATGTCAGCTAACACAGATTAATCTGAAACGTCTCTCTGATGTGGCTTTCCGTGCACACTAAGCCGACATTTCCTACCCCCTGAAAATAGAAGTTTTTCGAAAAACGTCCTCCTGAGCGGATCGTTTTCGAGCGCGGGCAGGGAAAACTGAGCTTTTCAAGATGTCTGACGGTCGGCCAACATCCTGTCACTTGTAATTGCTCATTTGGTATGCTGATCTAATCACATCGCGCCGGCGTTCTCGTTGACATATCTCTTTCTCTCATCGCTCATGAGTACACACTGGAGGCTTACTTGAAGGTCCGACTTCAAATATCCAGGAATTATCATTATTAAGGTCATCAGATAGCGTTTAACCCCGATTAAATCCCTAATTAATGCAGTTTGTGCAGTTTTCAGACTTCAGGAATATAAAACGAGTTGATGCGTTGAGCCCCAGATGTTTGTGTTAAAGCGTGCGGTTCCTCTGAAGTTCTGAAAATGCACGAACAGTTAGAGCGTGGTTTGACACATAAACAGCGTCTGTAATTTATTGCAAATTAGCGTTGCTCAAGAGTGTCTCAACATTTTGCGTAACATTCTTATTTTTTCAGAAGGCTTGATGAGATACCACCGGTACCGCTGTCCAATAAATATGTAACCGAAACCAGCAGCAGGTTAAATTAGTTAAACACATGCCTGGAAAGAAAAAAAAGGAGGGAAGGGGGAAGCAGCTAACCTAGCTCTGTCCAAAGGTAACAGAATCTAGCCTAGCAGCATTTCTAAACCTCACGTTATCTCTATAATCCATTAACAACTCAGGTTCACTCCAGACGTACAGCTGCTTTACCCATAGCGTCACTTTCTATACTTCTTATTTTTGTTCATTTTTCCACCAAAATGAACAAACACAAGGTCAGGAGGTCACGACACACTCATTAATGTCACTTTTCAACACACTAGGGATCCTTTAGCATCATTTTATAAGCTCAGGGTGATAAAAATGTGAGTGTCAGATAGTCTCCAGTTGTTGATATAAACCTTTAAAGCCCGTCGCTGCATATTAAAGTTACGTATTTAGACGTTTTCTCCCCATTAAAATAATCCCTTCCGGATTTAAAACGGCTCAGATGTACCTCTACACTGTTGCTTCCTCCAGAATGTGCAGATCTCAAGCACACCAGCTCACCTACTGCTCAAACAGTGTAAAACTACTCCACTACTCTGTAATACTGGAGTAATACGGCCACACATGTTTGAACTGGAGAATAATGATAGAGGAAGTCCCACCCTGCAAGCTGACAGGATTGAACTCTTTGGTTTATGTGTTATGAAATCCTGAAAGTCTGAATATTTTTCATTTATAATGTTTTTCAGAGTGTCATCAGTGCACTTCAAGGTGTAAATGTTCAGCTATGGCACTGATTTCACCCATTTCACTCATGACATGTCTTTCAACATATACAAACATATCATAAAGACATGCTAGCAAGAGTAAAAAACAAACTTTAATGTTACAAACACGTGTCATTTTTTATTTTTTTTTAAAATTTATTATTAGTTATTTTTTTTGGCCTTTTTGCCTTAATTTGAGAGTGCAGTTAAGAGAGAGAGACAGGATAGTGAGTTAGATGAATGGGGGAAGGACCTGCAGAAGAGGTCCATGAGCGGGATTCGAACTCATGACCTCCGCATCAGGGACTACAGCCCCTGTACAAGCAATGCCAGCTCCACCAGGAGAGCTATAGCAGCAACCAAACGTGTGCATTTTAACTCAAACTATGATTTTTTTACCCTAAACTTAACCGAGTAGTTTTGTTGTTTAACCAGTAATATGAGCGTTAAGCTACAAAATGAAACTAAAGCAAGTGAAATAACAACAACAACAATAAATAAATAACAACAATAATAAATAAATACAAAAACAACAACATTCTTGTTATATTATTATGATTATAACGGGACACTGGACATGAACCTCCATCTCCTCAGTTAAAGTCTCGTGACCTACAACACCTGCATCCTCCAACTTCTTCATGCCACTCTCTAAAACTGAAAAACTCCCACACATTTATCACCATCCAATATTAACGCTGAAGGCACTAAAGGACACCTTGCGTGTATTCCTGAAACGCCAAGAACCGGTCGTTTACACCAAGAACTATTCCTATATATATATATATTTATTTCTGGTGTGTTTATTCTTATTTTTATTCATCTCTTAATATTGTTCCAGTGTGGAACAGGTACGTAAAGCATTTCACTGCGTGTTACACCATCTGTGACTGTGTTTGTGACCAATAAAGACTTCGAATCTTGAATCTTGGCAAGAATCAGTGACTCCGGCAACTGCTTCTGGCCAAGCTTTAAAACTAGACATGATGTGGTAGTCAGTGATCTTTACAGCAGGTGCTGGTCGATGGATTTGATCAGAGCCAGGCTAGTCGTGCCCCATTGTTTACAGTCTTTATGCTAAGCTAAGCTAACTGTCCCCAGCTAACGATTCACTGTGCAGATGTGATTTTTATTAAAAGGTCATGTTTAAAGTCAGCCTGGCCTGGAAGAATGTTATTGCATAAAAGCTGTTTGGACTTAGATTTGAGGATTGTGAGCTGTTTAGGATGCAGTTTAGATGCATTAATGTGAGGAAAAGTCTCAGCGCCTCCTCGTTCTGCCTCCTTTCTCCCCCCCCAGCAGCACCTGTAGTCCAAGACAATCGCCTGAGCTATGTAAAAAATTATGGTCGTGGTATGCGCCGCTGTAGACCTCGCAGAGCCCGTACAAGACAAACATATCACACGACTACGTACGCTTTGCCCCGGCCCAGTTAGCCCGAGGCATTTGGCGAAAACTTTCAAGCGTTCTAGAGCAAATCCCAAACTGATAAGAGAAGCCAAGACACACAGCAATCCCATTACGCTGTCAGTGAGTCCACAGAAAACGCCGAGCAGCTGAAACACATCTGAAAACGAAGTAGACAAATATCATATCGCAGGGTCTGAAATGATGTGTTAAAAGCTTCGGTGCCGGCACACAACAGCAAATACAGCTGTGTCGCACAAAGCAACGGCTCGGAACAAGAAGGAAACGTGATGTTTGGATGACTAACGATGCAGGGTCGTTATCTGCCAGACAGAAACCACAGGGGGCGACACACGGGGATTAAACACCGATAAAATATCATATGGATTTTTTTTATTTCACTTCTTTACCTCTACGTTCATCCACAGGGCAAACGATCCACAGATTTTCTGCATCATTAATCACTGAAATATAATCTGTTATCAGCCGATCCACAGACAGAAAGAAAATAACCCAGTGTTCATCCAGACAAGTCTTTGCAAGTATTTTATTCACTACAATACAATAAAACACACTTTTTTTCTTTTTTTCAGAGCTACATCCTGAGTATCTGATTGCTCACCAGCATATTAGTGATTCCGTTTAAGCTTCAGCTAGTTTTAATAACGGTTTGTCTCCATTAGCTCTGCTGGGACCCTTCCAGCCCCCCTAATGCTGATTTCTCTCTGCGCTGCCCGAGTTGTCTCTCGTTCAAAATCACTGGTGAAACTTCATCAGTCTGACAGAAAAGCAGCTTTAAACAGCATCCAAATGAAAATTGGCCAAATGTATTTCATTCCCCCCTCACAGCTGAGTAGACAGTAATTCAGGCCATTTGTAGCATTTCGCTGCGACGCCAAATTCAACTATTATTCATACTTCCATTGACTTAAATCTTAATCATCAGAGCTGAGACGGGCCGTGCGGCCATAAATCAGTCAGGCCGAGCGGGCGGTTCCTGTTGGTTTCCTCTGAAGTTCCTCTAAAACCCCTGGAAGCGGATGATTCTGCCGGAGCCGCGCTGAGGAAGCATGGCAGACATCATTGCTTAGCGTGCGTTTCCTTTGCCGCGGTCTAATTCATTTCTCAGGCCTGTCGCCTCGCCTTTTGTGGGGCTTTCGGCGTCTCCTCTCTGTTCTTCGGGGGGCCACAACCCCCCATGTGTGAGCGGCGATGCAGGCCCCCCGGGGGTCACGGGAAGGGGCCCTCTGTTTAAACACAGTTGTGCGCTCTGCCGGCACCGAGCATTCCTCGGGGCACAAACAGGTGGTAAATTAAGCAGACGGTGACGGATTGCCACCCCGGAGAAAAAGAAATATGTTTTGTTTATTCAATTTTTGTTTTTCATCACTGCCGTAGCTACGGAGACGGCGGACACAAAGGGATTATATTCTCGCCTGACACCCTCCTCTGCACACACGTACCCTCCCTCTCCGCCGCCACAAGCAGGACAATGAATCAAAGGGCCGCGTGTTTACTGACGCTCCGGGATGGCGCTCAAAGGCCGGGCCTCCCAGAGCCTCCCCGGCCACCTCTCCGCGCTCACCCAAGGGTAACAGGTCCCCGATCATTCGCTCAGCTGATAACCAAAGGGGACAAGGGCCTCTGTGCGGTAATTAAGCGAGCTCTAATTTCATTAGCCCTCGCCTGTTGGTGGCATGCAGTGTCAAGTCGCAGCACACCCAGAGAAGATAAACCCAGTGGGAAGCTTGGCGGCGAGGGAGGCCCGGCTGGCAGCCATTGTGCGAGCGCGGGGATCATCTCACACTTCCTCTCAGTCCGTCTCACCAAACAGTGTGCACTACTTTGTAATAGATTGCTTGACCCTGCGCTCCCATTCTCCCCCCCGGTGTCTATTTAGCTCGAACCAAGTGGCAGAAGGTGTGTGTGGATTTGTGTGTGTTTAAATACGCCGCATAGACTGAAAACATACTTGAGGGAGAAAGAAAAAGAAAGAAAGAAAGAAAGAAAGAGAGGCAGACACTGACAGAGAGACTGGACGCCGTAACCGACTCTCCTCCGCCGAGCTCGTCCTCCAACGGCGGCGGCTCGGGGAGGAGAGCGTCTACCTCCGCCGGATTCTCACGCTGCGGAGTTGGATGGGGCTCTGGGAGCAGAACCCGGACAGCTCATGAGGTCGGAAACACATCCCAATTCTCCTGGAACTTTTTCTGTGGCTGTGAAGACAAATAGTGGCCCCTCCTTCCCCTCCTTACTCCCCCCTACCTCCCTCCTCACACACCCTTTATGTGTCTGGATGAAGGAGAGGGCTGCAATGAATGGCAGGGCTGTGAGAGCTCGCTCTACTCAGCCCAACAAACCTTCTTTCTTCTGAAATTGTGTGCAATTTGCTCACACCATGCATTGACACACATACTTAAACACCCCGCTCTTATGGTTCTCTTCATTCTTGGCAGCGGCCGGGGGACGACTGATGAGCACTAAAAGTGATCATGTTAAGTCACAAAGGCAAAGAAAAGGCTAACTAACTTTAGAGAGAGAGAGGAAAGAAAAAAAGGAGGAAATGCTGTTTTTCTGCACAACAAAAACCACAAACATCGGCGTTAATTGATAAAATATTGAATCAATTAGAAGATATATGGATTAAAATAAAGTTTGTCAAGTGTTTCCCATCATCTAATCCAGCCTGCTCCAGATCAGATTGATTCTCACAGTTTCAAGCGAACCCCCCACATACACTTAAACGGTAATAGCACATTCCTGCTAAAGCCGCGGGATAAAGCACTTCACTTGAAGCACAGATTAGCTCCGACGCCGCTGAGCTGTTTGCCTCTTGTTGCAATCACAGTGATGAAGTAATAGCTGCTTGGCCGGACAAAGAATCTGCGCAGGGGAGCTTCTGCAAAAAGGGAGCTTTACTCATTTCCTGGTATGAAAATATCTGCCACAAGTGGTGTCCCAATAGTTACCAGACTCAGGTCGACGTAGCCCGAGGTCGTCGGCGTTCAGGCTGCGGCTTGACACCTGACAGGCCAATTGGAAGGAATTTGTTTCAGAAGTTATATGAGCAGCAGATGTGGCATTTTTCTATAAAACTTTTCTTTTATTTTTGTGGCCATTTATTTTTGGAAAAAGAGAACCCGGTATGCGCCTTTAACCCTGCCCGGCCACCTGAAAGAAAGATGCCTCTTTGCCCTTCGTAGGGCATGTGTGCTTTCAGACGTTCTCCGTCGGAAGCCGTCGTGTTTGCACAGCGAGACGGGGAGCGCTATGGAAACTGTTGCTGTAAAGGGGAGCATGTTCAGGAGCACAACGAGGGAAGGTCGTAGGTCGGAGATGAGGGGACGGGGGGCAGCGGCGTGCAGCAGGTTTCTAGGTCAGGTTTAAGCGGACGTTTTTATTGGCTCCTTTATACGACGTTGTGTAAATGTTTTTGAAAAAGGTGGCTGTCGGTTATTTATAGACATGTAGCTTCACAGATCATCTCAAGGACCCCCAAGAATGATTCTGACGGATGTT